CTAGAGTATAGCCTTGTTGTTGCTGTCTTTGTCTTAATAGACGTGTGTCAGTTCTGACGACGACTTCCGCCCTTGTTCACCTTCAGTTGTGGGGTTTGTCCGTGGTCGTGCGGCGTTATCGGGCCGGCGTTTCCAAGGGGGTGTGGGGCGTTATCGAGCCCCCGCTCGTTCTTCATAACCCGCGTCCTGTTATCGGAGGGCGCTTCGACGGTATTCTTTTACGTGTACCTCACTGCAGGCACGGGGTGTTGGAGGTGAGTACACCAATCAGTCCAAACGTCGGGGGGGGCGCACTTATCGAGGCGGCTCTGCTTGCCGAGCGTAGGAAGGCCTTCAGGCGTAGAAGCGTGAAGAAGACTTAGACTTGTGTGAGACCAAGACTTTTGGAGACTGATCCTATCCTAGCCATCCAGTCCACTGGCTACCGCCCTACATGATTTACCTATCGTATCACATCTAAGTGCAACCCTAATCCACGCAGTACCTCGACTTGAGTTATGATCCGAGTTCGGACGGGCTAGCACGATCTCGCGTCACGGGCTGGCACGGGCTCGCGTCGCGGGATCTCTGTACGAGCTAGCACGGGGTCTTAGCACGGGCTGGCATGGGGTCTCGGCACGGGCTGGCATGGGGTCTCAGCACGGGTTGCGTCACGGGGCAACCCGGGCTCGAGACCGGGGTCACTATCATGAGTCATGTCGTTTTGTGACGGTCGGACTCGACTCCGAATCAGATTTTCCGTCAATAATTCTAGTCTTTTCCCGTCACTCGCACCCCGCGTTGCCGGCCAACTGCCACATCGAGCTGCCACCTTTCCTTGCACTCCATCACACCATTTCCGAGGCACTCTACCACATCCGTCCCGCCGGTATTTCCGCGCACTCCCAGGTGAATGGGTAATAGCGGAACCTCTTGTAATTGTCGCCCACTAACATCGCATCTCGTCATCTTGTGTATTACAGCACGATGTCGAGTTCCAGTGGTTCCCCACACGCGATCGACCCGAATGAGTCACCCCGCAGGTCCCCGAACGGCTCTGGTGACTCTCTGCGTGATCCCAGCTCCGACGGCTTCGTCCACGAGCTTGGTCCTGACGACTTCCTTCCAAATGGATGCGCAATGTGCGCCACCGGTTTCGAGAGCCCGTCCATTCCTCCGTCTTCCGCCGTCAACATTCCAGCCGTCGGCGACCCTGTTCCTTCTGTAGACGCGTTGGTTCCGGACGCCTCGGCGTTGGATCACGAGGCGCAAGTGTTACGTTCCCGTCTCGAGTTGTCAACCGCGCTGAACTCTGGTCTTGCGACCCACGCGTCCGTGCTCCATGGCCAGCTTATCGCGCTGCGAGAGCGCGCGCGAAGGCTACAACTTGGGTCTCCAAGCCGTGGATCGCCTCAGCAGCGAGGTCGAGTCGCACGACCACATCATTTGCGAGTTGCGTGACGACAACCAAGGTGTCCGAGATCAAGCCTTCCAAGCGGACACGTGGCGGACGCAGTACAACAACTTGTGCAAGACCACGGCCGATGAGGCAACGCCGTACCAGAACGCGCTGGCACGCGCCAACGCTCGGATCTCCAGTTTAAACTCGCAGCTAGCCGCGGCATCGGTGCCCGCTCCGCCTCTCGCGTCTACCTCGGTGTCTACAGCTACGTCCCAGACTAGCGTCACCGGTGATGAGTTGTCGCGCTTTCGAGCCGACCTTACTTCCGCACAGGCTTCCGTTCAGTCTAAACGGACTCGAGTCTGTTCGGTCACTTCTGAGCGAGACTCTGCGCACACAGAGAGTGAGCGCCGACGCGTCCTATGTGATGTCACGGCTGCAGAGCTGGATGATGCTCGGGATTCGTTGGATCGCCGCCGCCGGGAGCTGGATGTCGCGCGTGCAGCTAACCAGCCGCTTCAGGACGCCCTCCGGCGCGTGATAGCGTTATTAGTGGGCCACACTGAAGAACACCAGCGAGACGTCGCTCGCATACTCGACCTGGAGACGTCATCCTCGGCCGCCGAAGCAGTCCGTGTCTCGGCTCAAGCCGATCGAGACTCCGCCCAGGCCAGCTGATCGTGTCTCGAGCTGCCATCTTTCGGTCCGTGTTGGTAGATGCTCGTCATTCCGCTACTCAACGGCGCGAGCAGACACAGGAGCGCGTGCGTCGCCTGACTGCGCGTGCGGCCGGGCTTGAGAACGCCCTCGCGTTAAGTCAGCAGGCCTCGCAGGATGAAATTGCTCTACTGGGAGGTCTAATTGACCAGTCCGATCTCGCGTATACAGAGCGCACGATGACTTGGAGCCGTCTGCTACGGGAAGCTCGCGCTGGTCGAGAGTCTGCACGCCTGGTGCGCACGCTCTCGTGACTCAGTTGAGCGCCATGGTGACTGCGGTGGGCGGCTCTCTGGACGTAACTCAGCTTGTGCGTAGCTTGGAGAGCCTGGTCGAGGCTTCGACTTACGCGGCCACGCCTCTTCCGCCCGACCTCGACCCCGAGATAGGACGTGCAGCGGCCACGCTCTCAGGACTCCCCGCGTCGACACCCTCTCGTTCGACTACAGCGCAACAGCGGTCCCCAGCTCTTCTGCGGCTTCTACCGTGGACGCGTCGACATCTACGGCGGGGCCAGCATCCTCTTCAGCGCAGAGCGACCCTGCAACCCCTAACCCTAGCGCGTCAGCATCTAAGACGCCCGCGCCACCGGCCGTGCCCGTGTCAACTTCGGCGTAGGGTGATCCTGCGGCCTCTACCACGGACGTGTCAGCATGCACAGCGCCCACGTCGCCGGCTGTGCCCACGACGTTGCCCCCAACTACCGCGTCGCCTGGGCTATTGTCAGTTCCGTCTCGCGCCACTGATCCGGGAGGACCTACGCTTTCCAGTCGAGGTGGTCGTTGGGCTCAACGCTTACGTCGCAGCCGTCGTTCGTCGACGGTTGCAGACACCACTGCGCCGGACAGCGCAGCTGCTCACTCGGGTGGTCACTCTTCTCCTACGGCTAATTCCAGTCTGGGGCCGCGCTTTCGCGCGACGTCTCCGGCGTCTTCCGGCGAGGATTCTGATGCGCGTCCTCCTGCGTGTCAACGGCGGCGGCTCACGCCCCCGTCGTCGGATCCCGTTTCAGATTCTACCGAGGGTTCGGCACACTCGCGTGCTTCTGATGGTGGGCCTGTGACATCGAGCGGTGGTCGTTTGTTCTCCAGCGACTCCGACAGCGACGATGGCGCGCATAACGGGGGGGGCAGCGGGCACTCCACCGGCTGGTGGTGTTGCGCCTGCTGTGCAGCCGTTCTTCACCCCAGTCATTTCTCCATTCCAGCACCGAGCTGAGTGGACGTGGAGCCGTTATGCTCCCTGGTCTCGTGCTCTGCGGGGTCTAACCCTCTAGTCTATCACGGCGTGAGCTTTGCGCGTCGAGCACCTACCCCCTCGTGCCTGGATCTTCCCGACTACGTCGCCTCCCGTTCCGGCTTCTGGGACCCAACGTTATTGACGGGGCGAATGGTGGAGGACTTTTACGCGACCCGTCCGTGGGGCTATCTCACTCGTCGTGCTCAGCCGCTGACTTTCGACATCCACGACACTCATTTTCAGCCTTTGGTCGAGCGCTACGAGGTGCGCCTGGATCACTGGGTCAAGCGTACTTGGAGTCGACGCATGAGTTCCCAGTGCCGAACACGCCCGCGTGGACGCGGTGGCGCCGTCGTCGCGGTCCCACGCCGATGACCACTTAGTGGTGCTGCTCCTAATACTCTTCCAGGTCTGGCGCGTGGACATGGACGTGCTGCTGGATGTCATGATGCTCCTGTTTCCTCCGGGTCGTTCCAGTGTCGGACGTTGATACCCTGACTTGCGGAACTCGGCCCTGGAGGCCGCGTTGGCCGACATCGACGCGCGAGAGCCGTGGCGTCGCTTCTTCCGTACTCAGCCTGACACGGCTGGCAACACTACTGTTGAGCCCGAACACCCGGCTTACGCCATTCGCCGTTTTGCGTCCAAGTTCGTGGAGCGCGGACAGTCGCAACCTTAGGAGTAGCAGTAGCTATCCATCTTGACGTAGCCCTTTTTTGCTATTCTCGAATCTAATCTTTCCATTCTTTCTCATTTCGTGTTATAGAGCGACCCTCCGTCGCCCTATCTTCGGTCCACCAGACTTCCCACAACTCATCTTCCCAGAAGCTGCCCAACTCAGCAACTAGTATCACCACTTCCTCTCGTCGACGGCCACCCCGTCGACTTCAGCACCCACCGGCATCCAGCTCTCGGTAGACGCGTCCTCGTGGGACTGCATCACTTTGAATCGGCTTCGACCTGTGCGTTTCCGCAGGAAGTCATACAAGAGTCCTCCGCAGTTCAAGTCCAGCTCATCCACCCAGCTCGTCTCTCGATATCCTTGCCTCTTCACATGGAACTCGAGCCGGGTTCGTCCATAGCGCGTTGTGCGACTTTCGCGTACATCTAGGATTTGTTCGACCTCGTACACATCGGCGTCCGCATCGTGCGTCTCCCAGCTGTCATCCGGGAGGAGCTCTTCGTCGAAGTCGAACCACTCCTCCGCTGGCACCATCAGTCGCAACTCGGGTCGCGACGGGAATCGCGGACGGGCTTCAGCTTCGAGACGTGCACAATTGAGAACAGTTGGTACGGGGTTCGGTTGGTCTCCAGACGCACGGCGTACGCGCTCACCAATTCGGCGACGCGGAACGGGCCGTGCCATAGTTGCGCAAGTTTGCGCGAGTACCCAGGCTTGACCCGATCAAGATACAGCCAGACTTGATATTCGCATTGTATTGCGTGTTCCGTCGCGCGCGCGTTCTGCCGTGTAGCCCACGTGTCCACTGCTTCGCTGATCAACTCGAGTGCTTGCGCGCGTTTTGTAGTGGCGCTGTATACGCATTCTCCATCGCCTAGCTTCAACGTCTCACTGTGAGGCATTACCAATCGCTACCGTCGCTTCCAGGGTAGACCGTGAGTCCCACCCATCCACCAAGAAAAACGGTGTTTCGTCCCGTGTTCAATCGTGGGTGGTATTCAGGGCGTAGGTGAGCCGTTCTGCGTACACGTCCCAGTCGCGCTGATCGTTGTCCGCGATGTTCATCTCGATGGCCCTCGTGATCGTCTGCACCATGCGCTCCGCCGCCCCGTTTGCTTGTGGGCGATACACGAGAGTCTCTCGCTGCCGTTGACCCTTGGGTTTGTTGAAAGCCTTGAAGAAATCGGACATGAAGCCCGGCTCGCGGTCGTGGTGAATGGTTTCACTAGCCCCGAACCGTCTGAAGACCGCCTCCTCGTACGACTCAGCTACCGTCTGCACAGTCCGTGACGCACTTGCCTTCGCGATGACGAAGCCCGTAAACAGGTCGACCCAGATTAACAGCTCCGTGTTTCCTTTGTGTGACGCGGGCAGTGACGGTATGTGGTCCATCGCGACCACTTGGAATGGATACGTCGCTACGATATTCCCAGGAGATTCCCCTTGGATTGTCGGTCTGTCTTTGCCAGTCTCGCAGTCGACACACTCTCCAACATGACGCTGTACGCTTTTGAACAGTCCTGGCCAGTGGAAATGTCGTCGTACGCGTTGGTACGTTCGGCCTATACCTTGGTGCCCGCCTTCTAGACTCGCGTGGTAGTGGTGTAGTACGTCTTGTCGGAGGGTCTCTGACGCGACCAATTTCATGATCCGGTCTCGAGCCTCTGTCGATTCGTCTCCTCGTACGTAGTAGTACAACAAACCACTCTCTCCCACCTCGTACTGTTCTGCGATCTTCACACAGCTCTTCACCTCCTGTTTGGAAAGCTCGCTGATATCTCCGCTTAGGAACTTCTTGAGGTTCGCTATCCAGAGCTCTTCGTCCTGCGTCGTACGGACCTGATCCAGTCTCAGCCGTTGTACCTGTAGTTCCTACAAGGGTTCCGGTTGTCTCCGTGTGATTTGACGGGACGCGTCGATCGACCAGGTGGTCACAGGACAGACCCTCCCCGTCCCGCGTCTCTCGTTGTCGGGACCGCGCGTTTTAATCTCAGCGACGGGGTCATCTGTACCGCGCGTTTCCAGCTCTGAGACGGGTAGAGTGGGTTGCAGCACTTCTCTCAACCGATTCAACGTCTTCAAATCCTCGATCCCCTCGACGCTATGGACGTTTTTTCCTCCTTGTCGTTGGAATGTCTGTCCGGCCAACATATCTGTACTCGCGTTCCAGTCTCGTCGGACATGTAGAAACTCGTGCTCGGGCCGTTCGCGCAGCGCGTTCCAAGCTTGTTGTCTCAGCTGCTTCAGACCGGGACATTTACAGTCCATCTCTCCTCGCATTTGGGCGAACCACCAAGTTTAAATCATCACATATGATTAGGCGTGCAACATCCAAGTATTCTAGAAGCGAGAGCCCGAGTAGCATGCCCCGGTAGTCGACTTCGCTCACTGTGAGACCTTCCGCGTATCCGGACGCGGCTTTTACCACGTCCCAATTCAGCAGCTGCCAGGCCACTGCGCTGAATGCACCACCTTCGCGTTTGACGCGGGCTGATCCGTCGAAGCTGATCACATAGGGGCTCTCGGTCGGTCCGATTTTCAGGACCGAGATCGTAGCCGTCTTAGACGGGCGTGTTCGAGGTGCGATATCTTCCAATGCGGAATCTACATTGGTCCTCGTCGTGATGCTTACAGCCAAAGCTCCCAGAATCGCTTCCTCCCCTTTCACTGACCGGAGTATTTCCAATTGCCATGGGGAGAGGATGGCAGCCCATGGCGACAGACGACCTTGCAGCCCTTTAGACCGGAATAGCCAACCCAGGGTTGTATGTCGGGTCAACACGCGTATCGTCTTTCCCACCAGTATGTTGTGGCACTCGTTCAAGACACGCAACAACGCTAGGATCTCCTTCTCGGTGATGCTGTAGTTCAGCTTGTTGGGCTTCAACGTCCGGCTAGTGAACTTGACGGGCATGTACACTCCGCCATGCTCTTGAATGAGGACGGCCGACACGGCCTAGTCACTCGCGTAGACAATCACCACTGGTTGTCTATCCGCGGCGAAATGCTTTAGCATCGGGGTAGCTGCGATCTTGCTGCGAAGTGTCGTGAGCGCACGTTCAGCGTAATCCCACACTTCCACGTCACGCGTTTCTGGGTTCGTGGCGCGTTCCTCGAAGTCGCGGGCTGAGAGGGAGTAAAGCGGGGTGGCAAAGATCGCGAAGTCGGGGATAAAGCGGTGGTAGTAATTTAGACTACACAAGAACGATTGCAACAATTTGAGCGTGCGCGGAAAATCCAGCGCCGCTAGTGCTTCCAAGTTCATTGGCTTCGCTCCGAGTCCGTTTCCCGAAACCTCGTGCCCCAAGTAATCCACTCTTGACATTCCCCATTCGCTTTTCTCGACACTGATCGACAGGTGCCAATCCTCGCAAACCTCGAGGAGGCGTTCCACCTTCTCGAACAAGTCATCCCAAGCCTTTCCCCCTTTTCAGAATATCGTCAATGTAGGACCGTCGATCAATCACGGACCGTGTGTTCCAGGCTTGGACGGGACCCCGTCCTTGAAAATGTTGCGCGCATCGTCAGTCGGCGAGAGTTTCCAGAAGCCGTACAGCGCGTTGTCTATCAGCCGCTGGTATATCTGTGGCACGTTGCATAAACCAAATGCCATACGCAGCCACTCGAACAACCCGAATGGTGTGATGAACTCGGAGATGAGACTGGCTCGGTCCGTCATCGGGACTACCCAAAATCCGCTGGCCACGTCTAAGGAGCAGTTCCATCGGTACATATCCAAGTCTTCCAAGAGGTCCGTGACCAGTGGCATCGGGTACACCATCCACTGGGTCAAGCCGTTGACCAAACTGTAGTCGACACAGAGTCTAATGTCGACGCCGTTCTTCTTCACGATGATGGCGATGCGTGAAGCCCCAAGTTGACTTCGACGCGCGGATCTTACGTGCGCTGAGGAGTCCTCGGATCAGATCGGCAAGTTTCTCGCGAGACTGTGACGAGTTCTTCCGGACGCATTGTGCGACGGGCCTCGCGTTTCCCACATCGATGTCGCAGATGACACCCTTCGCTGCAGGTGGCAGAGCGTTGTCCTTCCCGATCAACCATTTACGCTTCTTCCATCTCTGCAGCTTCCTCCGGGTCAACTCCTTCCAGACGCCCGATTTCGAGATCCTCGATCTTCACTTCTGCCGTCAACGGAACCTCTGGCAACACTGCCGAATAAGTCTGACCCCTCATGGAATATCACCTCTTCGTCGACGTACTGGTACTCTGGAATGTCCTTGAAGCCAGGGTCGGGCTCTTCCGTCGACCCAATCTTGAGATGTGATCCGTGCTTAGGTTCCTCACCACTGTCGGGTCCGTGCCCGTGCTCCGTGCCTAGACGCGTTCCGTACTCGAGCTTCGGAGAGGGGGCGTCCCGAGTCTGCACCCTATCGGTGGACTCAGTATTATCTTCCCGTGAAACAGTTGATATCGCCTCAACCTTTCTCCCATGGTGCTCTCCCTGCGGGTTCCCTGGCTTCTTTGATCGGCCCAAGATCGCTTGTGGATCGACATACTCTCGCCGTTCTGTCATTGGACCGCTAGTCTCCTGGAATATGGTTTCTTCATTTACGTCCGAAGTCGCTCCGTACACCAAGTTCTTTCGATCCAGGTTGTACGAAGCCAAACGCGCGAGGTACCGCGTCGATGGGCGTCCACCATTCAATTGTCGTATGTGCGTCTAGCACGGTCGACTTCTCGCCGATGTTCGTAACGCGCAAGTACGTGCAACGTCCGACGGGAGCCTTGATCAGGGAAGTTACTCACGTCGCTCCTCGCGTCATTCACAAGCGCGGTATATTCTTCTCTGGTCGTAACGGCACGTCGTAGGTCTGAGCGGCGACGCGGATCAACGACGGGATCGTCACCGGACGCATCCGCGATCCGTACAACGGTCGTCTCCCGATCATCTGGATTGGACTTCGTCTGGGAGACATGCTCTGCCGTCCGCAGTATCGATCCGCACCCCTGCAGGCACCATGAAATTCATCCCGAAGATCGCGTTTTAGGCCAACGAGGTTTCCGACCCAAAGGTCCATGTAGTACACCAGGTTCCCCACCAGCGTGACTTTGACGCACGTCTTCCCCACCGTGAAGTACGTTTCGTCCCTGATGCCCACACATT